ACTGATTTCTACAGTGGTTGCACCAGTCTGCACTCCCAACAACAATGGAGAAGGGTTCCTTTCTCCCCACAGCCCTGCCAGCATTTGCTATTGGTTGATTTCATGATAGCAGCCATTCTTTGTGGGGTGAGGTGGAATCTCAGTGTTGTTTTCATTTGCATCTCTTGAATGACCAGTGATGTTGAACATTTTTTCATATATTTATTTGCTGCTTTTACTTCTTTGTCTGAGAAATGTCTGTTCATTTCAGATGCCCATTTTTGAATTGGGTCTTTGAATTTGGGGGGGTCTGATTTTTTCAATTCTTTATATATTCTCGATAGTAGACCTTTGTCCCTCCAGCATTTGTTATTGATTGACTTCTTTTTTTTTTTTTTTTTGGTACCAGGGATCAAACTCGGGTCCTTGTGCTTGTGCAGCAGGTGGCGAAACCACTGAGATAAATCCCTGGCCCCTGGTTGACTTCTTGATAGCAGCCATTCCTTCTGGGGTGAGGTGAAATCTCAGCATTGTTTTCATTTGCATCTCTCGAATGACCAGTGATGTATATTTTTTCATATATTTATTTGCCATTTCTACTTCTTCATCTGAGAAATATGTATTCATCTCAGATGCCCATTTTTGGATTAGGTCTTTAAATTTGGGACATCTGATTATTTGAGTTCTTTATATATTCTAGATGGTAGTCCTTTATCTGAATATCAGCGCTCTCTCTCTCCTTCCTCTCTTCCTTCACTTAAACACTGTGGGCTGGCTGTGTGCTGGGCATGCAGAGACTTACAAGCTCAGAGTCCAGGGAGGCAGTTGTCTAAAGAGGCAGGCACAGTAAGCTTTCACAGAGGAGGTGACATTTGGACTGGGATTCCAGGGGGAGCCATGTGTGGGCACTGGTGAGGAAGGCAAGGTGCCCGGTGAGCCACTTGGGAGGGGGACAGGCAGCTACGCTGTTGAGAAACAGGAAGCCAGTAAGGCCAGTTGAGGGTGGTGGGGACTGAAGGACATTAGGGAACAGTGACAGGAGCACATGTGGACCCTGGGGGCAGAGAGGCAGGTGTGGTGAGGATGCTGTCACAGGGGCCTCGTCCCGGGGGTCTACACTTGGCCTCTGGGTCCCCCACTCACTTCCTACCCTCTCAGTGTGACCCTTGTCATCTCCCTGTGCGGATCGTCTGTCCCTTCCCTGTTCTCTCGGCGTGACAGGATTTGTGGGAGGCATGGAGGAGAGGGCAGGGGCTGGAGAGGAGGCAGCCCCTGTCCTGCCATCAGACTGGGCAGTGGGGTGGGGTTCCAGGCCTCTGTGCGCTTTTAATGTCAGAGATACCACCATTCCCCTGCCCCATCCTCCTCATGACAGGAAAAATTTTTGTGGCTGTGACTGAAAAATTATAGGCTTCAGGACCCTGAATGCTGACATGAACTCCATAGTGTGAACATGGGGATGGATGGGTAGGAAGTGTGGTTTATGACCTGTCGTTAGGAGTGAGCAGCTGGCCGGGGGAAAGGGTTGTGGGGGAGTGGAAAGAGGCTGCCAGCAGGGTGGGGCACAAGGCTGAGCTCGGAGCTCTTGAAACCCCAAGGCTCTCTGGGTCAAGGCCCAGTGGTTCTTGGGTCCCTTCTGCCTGAGGGGCTCTACCATGTGTGCTGGATGACCACTCTGCCCCTGGACCTTTGCATGTGACATTACTCCTGTTATTTTCATCTAAACAAGTGTCTTAATCACGTTGTCCGGTATGCATGGTGACAACACTGACTGGTTCCTGGGTCGGGATTCTTTTTTTTTTTTTGGTACCGGGGATCGAACTTGGGGGCAGGCCCCAAAACCACTAAGCTAAATCCCTGGCATAAGGGATTCTTGATCAAGTATAGAAATAAAGGAGCAGAGTCCAAAGAAATTGCAAAGTGAAAGCAAGATTTATTGCAAGTGAACAGGCTTCTCTGAAGAGGAGAGGCCCCAGAACTGGGAGTCCGGTGCTCCCATTGAACCGGGCTCAATTTATGGTGGTTTGAGCAGCCCCGCCCCCTGGGTGGTGTGGTGTGTTCCTGCAGTGGAGCTTGATCTTGGATTGATTCCCCCGCTTGTGGCCAGGCGTCCACGAGAACGGAAGGGCACTTGTGATTGGCCTAGCGTGGTGTTTCACAAGCTCAGAACAGTGTTCCGGTTGGTTCGTGCTTGGAGCCAAGTAGGCTTGGCTCCTGCCTTCCCTGCCCTGAAACTGTTGCCCTGCATCTGTTTCATCCCTGCTTGTTTTGTACAGGTTTCACCACTACCCCCGCCCCCCAGGTCTGCTTCCCTGTTCTAACCCTGCCTGTGGACCCGTGTCCCTACAGCGTTCTTGTGGCTGAGACACAATGCCTGGCATCTACAGCTGAAAGGAGGGGAGGCTTATTTTGGCTCACAGTGACAGTCATGGTCCGCTGGTTCCTGGGGATCCATGTTGGAGGAAGGGCTGCTCATGGCATGGTGGACAAGAAGAGGAGCGTTAAGGGAGGAGCAGGGCAGGGAGAGAAACCCTTCCAGCCCACGCCCCCAGGGACCGACTGTTCCCACCAGACCCCGACTCCTAACAGCGAGTCAGCTATGAGCCCCGTAATCTGGTCACCTTCTGAAGATCCTGCCTGTGAGCACACGAGGCTTTAGGGGGACCTCTAGATCTAAACCGTAGCAACAAGCAAACCCTGCAGGGGGAGAAGTTGTGACTCAGTAGTAGAAAGTCAGAATCGAAGATCATTTTTTGGAAGCAGTGTAAGTTTCCTCACTGTGGCCACAGGGAAGGTCTGTGGCCAACGCAGTTGTCAGGGGAGAGATGGGAAGCACTGGATTGTCACCATCCTGTTGATGCCTTGGAAAAAAATGCCTTGCATTTGGTCTAAAGATATTTGAGAGCCCTTTGTGCCTGCATGTGCGGCTCCAGTTTATTGCGGTGATTTTCTTCACGGAGATGCTGTGGTTACCTGTCCTTCTCTCAGCCTGAAGCCCCAGCCTCACCCTCAGCTCGCTGACACTGCATACAATCAGCACGACAGGATGTCTACTGTGTGCCCAGCCCCGGGCTCCAGGAGGCCAGTGATGGATGGGGCAGAGTCCCTGACCTCCTGGAGCCTCTGGAAGTGGACGGTCATGGCAGGCTGACACCATGTGACAAACATGAGAGGAGACTTCCAGTTGGATACTGTGAGTCCCAGAAACAGAGGCTCCTTACCCAGGCTACAGACAGCTGAGGGACGGTGTCCCCGAGCAAGTCATGTTTGGACCTAAGGATGCTTTCAGTTTAGAATGCAGGCAAAGGCATGGTCATCCATGCAAGATTGTAAAATCTGTGCAAGATTTTTATCCTTCACAGTTTATGGGCTCAGCTTCCTGTTCTCTGGGAACCCCTTGGTGTCTGTGTCAGCCCACGAGGGTCTGTGTGTCCCCTGAGCTCCTGCAGCCCTGAAAACTTAAATCACACTTTGTAGTGCACAGTAACAGGGCATTATAGACTGCTCACAGATGTGATTCCAATCGTTAATATATATTTGAGAAAAATTCTAGCCTACCAGTAGGCAGAAAGACAAATGAAGACAACACATACTCATCAAATTGGCCAACATGAAAAGACAAACATGTAGAGTAAGGCTTGGATGTGGGGAATGGGGGCCTCACAGAGCACTGATGGCTGGTACCTTGGTACAACACCTGGAAAGCCATTGAAGGTGGCTCTAAAGAGCTTGAGAAATTTCTTTCTTTCTTTCTTTCTTTTTTTAAATGAGGCAGGGTCTCACTATGTAGTTCAGGCTGGCCTGGAACTCACAGCGATCCTTCTGCCTCAGCGATCTAAGTGCTGGGATTACAGGCATGTGCCACCATAGCTGGCAAAATTTCCATCCCTTTTTTTTTTTTTGTACCAGAGATTGAACTCAGCATCTTGTGCTTTCGAGGCTGGCGTTGGCACCACTGAGCTAAACCCTCAGCCCCAAATTTCCATTCTTGATCCACTAGTTGCACTTCTGAGAAATAATCCCAGGAGTGGGCAATGACATGGGGACTTTCTCATGAAATCATGTTAATCAACAAATTAGGGTACACAGATTATGCGTTACACAGCTCATTTCTTTGCATTATACATTTGTGCATCCATTTTTCTTTGATTTTTTTAAGGGAATTTTAAATGGATGATTTTGATCTCATACATATTTTGCATTTATCATATTCCTTATAAAGAACATTAAACAATCAAGGTAAAAGCCTCTGTGAAGCATGAAATGATGGAACCAAGTAAATCCAGAAATAAACTTTGGGAGTCAAAGGGTCAAATCACTACCGTCGTGTGTCACTTCATAAGATCCAGCTAATAGGGTCACACTTGGCTTATAATGGGGAAATGTTCTGAGAAATGTGTGGTTAGACGATTTTGTTGTGCCAACATCATAGATTGTGTGTGCACAGACTAAGACAGCTGTGCTGCAGTCTCAGGGGACCGCCATCATTTATGTGGTCTGTTCATTGGCGACCGAATTGTCATCATGCATCACGTGACTATGCATGTCAATATATTGGCCAATGCTGAGCATATAGGTCACCAAGCCATATACCTGTGGCTGGGCTGATTTTGTGGGTACAGTTGCCTGGCTCTTTAGCTTGACAGTAGGCATAGCCTGTGCCTGGATGGGTCTCAGTTTCCTGATGTGTGCATGGTTTGCTGGGACAGAGCGAGACTGAATTATCTCTGTGGGTGCCGGCAGATCTTGGCCTTGGAGTAGAGAACTTTGATGCACTCCAGCCTCAGAGCAAAGTGTGACTAAGCATTTGGGACTCTTAGGTTTCAGGTTCCAGCTCCTTATTTGCAGAGGGACCCCAGCACAGGACCTTGTGACCTATTCTATGTCCCCACCCTGCCCTGCCTTGGCCCTGCTCTTTGGCCACCTTGCCTTCCCTGGTCAGCCCCTGGTCCACTCCCTCTGGGCTGGTTTGATACCTCAGGCTCTACTGATGCCAAGCCTGGAGGGGCAGGGACAGGGACCCTATTCTTGGGAGCTGTTGGCAGAGGCAAGAATGGAGGCCACGGGGGAGCCCTACTTGCCTCAGGAAAAGAGTATCTCCTCCCTCCTGGGCATCTTTGAAAGGGTCTGGCTCTCATGGCCGAGGTGTCCTGCCCATTGAAGGTGACTGAGACTACTTCCTGATCTGGAGCAACCCCACCCCTTCCAGCCACTGTCAGCTGTGGGGTGACCGAAGTCCACTGTTCCATCAGCGCCTCGGCTGTGATAAGGCTTCCCGTGCCTAGCAGCCTTCCCAGTACCTGGCAGTTTACAGTAACACTGCCCACGGACTTCAGGAACTCTTGCTTTCAGCTGAGAGAGACCTTCAGAGACTCCCTCCCCGAGGGCCTTCTCAGGGCAGAATTGCAGCCCCAACTCTGCCTGGCCTAGCAGCTGCCTGGAGCTCACATGAGGAAGAGGTTGATTTTCCTTCAGGTCTAGGCATTAGCTGAACCTCAGGCTTCCTAGAGAGATGTGTGTGAGATGTGTCACTCTGTCACCATTGCCTCCTAGGGCCAGGCTTGGGAGGGGGACAGACACAGCTGCCCTGGGCTACTGCCCTGGGCTAAGTGGTGCTGGTAGGGAAAGATGTCCCCATCAAGCTGCGCCTCCTGAAGTAGGCCTGTTTCTCCCTAGCGATCGACAAATGAACAGAAAGACAGCTGCTTTGAAGAGCCCTGTGACCTACACAGAGAAACCAGACAGTGGCCAGGAGCCCCCAGACCGCCGCAGGTGAGGCCCCTTTCTACTCAGAGCTATGCACAGATTGGGGTGGGACGTCCTCATAGGTAACTGTCAGCCAGGGAACCTTAAAGTGGAATCATGGCCCCTTAGCGAGTCTGTCAGGCTGGCCATGGACGGCCTGAGGCCTCTTCCTCCCACCCTTCCACCTGTCCTGGTGCACTGGGACCTAGCAGAGTCCAGGCTTCTCGGGTTACCAACCTCCTCCCTGCCCACCTGTCCTCAGGCCAACCTGCCCAAGGCAAAGGTTTGCATTTCAGTGCCACCCCCTGCCCCCCAGCCTGGTGGCTTTAGTCAGGTGAGTGGGTGCTGAGCTCCTCACTGCAGAGCCCCAGGCCATGCAAGGCAGCTACAAGGAGGGCAGGTCTGCTGGGATCATGGCCCACGGCCTGGCCCTGAAGCTGTGAGTCAGACACTTCCATTTTTCCCCAGCCCGGACTGGTCTCATCCCTGTGCTTCCTGCTGTAGAGAGATGGGAGGGAAAGGGTGGGCAGCATCTTGGGATTCTGAGCTTAGTCCAAGCCTGCTCCTGAGATGGGAGGAGAGGCTGCTGGCTGGGAAGGGGGGGCTCTTGGCACCCCTCCCTGCATCTCAGGCTGTGCTTTCCCGGGGACAAACTGCACGCCTACCAAATGTGTCATCTTGCCATGTCCCCTAGAGAAGGGTCCTGGTCTCCAGCCTCCACTCCAGCCTTCGGGCTCAAAGCCAGGGTGGAATGGGCCCCAAGGATGCAAGGGTGGGACTCAAGGGTTGCTTGTCCAAAAATGGAATGTCTCCTTGCAGTCTGCACTGGCCAGAAGGCTTGAAGGGTGGAGAGATAAAGAAGTATGGCCGGGAAGGGGTGAGTATGTGGCTGCCTTTACAGCTTACGGGGGAGCGGCCTTGGACTGGCTGAAAAGGACTGGCTCCCTGGCCTATCAGGAGACCTGAACAGGTGTCACTGTCTGGGTGGGAATGCTGTGTTCCCCTCCAGTCCCAGGTTGCCTATCTGGACCCAGCGTTAGCTGCAGATGAGTTGTGCTTAGAACAGCCTCCATAGCCACCAGCTGTTTACTGGCTTCTCCATGTGTAGCCCAGGAAGGGGTGGGGTAAACAGTGGCACTATTTCCTGGTAGCTGGAGCAGGGCCCTTTTGGTGGTCTGACCTCCCCAGGCTTCTCAGACCCAGCCCGTGTGTTTGCAGACACTGCTAAATAAATACAACCACCAATACCACAAGCTCTTTAAGGATATCCCCTTGGAGGAGATGGTGCTCAAAGGTAAGCTGTCTCCTTGGAGTGGCTGGCAGGTGCCCAGGTCTTCTACCTTGGGCAACTGAGGCACCAGGTAGATATGGGGACTGGCTGTTCTCTGGCTGCAAATGTGTGGAGGTCTCAGGGGGACTGGGCTGGTTTGAGATATGAAGTTGAATTTATGAAGATTTTCTTGTGGCTTTCAAATCTTATTTCTCTTCTGTTCCTGTCAGTGACTAATCTTTCTTGCTCCATCCTGTCCCCGAGCATGTGGGGGCATTTGGATGATCAAGGGCCTCTCCCCAGGGTGGGGCGGGGCCATCTGCCTGAGATCATGAAAGCTGGAGTTTGGTTGCCTGGGCCGGAAGCTGCTGGGACTCCGTGGGTTATGGTGGGGAGGAATGGGGCAGGTAGGATTCTCAGGAGCAAGACTCAGGGTGAGGGTAGGAACAGACTGGTTGGCAAGGATGGGGCTTGGGGATTCTGAGGAGGGCGGGTACTGAGGCTGCCAGCTGGGCTTTGAATGTGAGGACCTAGGCCCGGCGGCTCCTTGGGTAGACCTTGCTCATGGCAGTCTTCTCCCTGTGACTTCCCAGTGTGCTCCTGTGCCCTCCAGAGGGATCTCCTTGTCCAGGGGCGGCTCTACATCTCCCCCAACTGGCTCTGCTTCCATGCCAACCTCTTTGGCAAGGACATCAAGGTAATCATGAGTGGTAAGGGGGGCCTGGCCTCACCCCAAGGAAGGACACTTTCCCGCACTGTGGCCATGCCTCATGTTGTGCCTGTCCCTGTGCATGCCAGGCACACGGTGAAACCTCTCACTGGTTGGATGAGCAGCTTCAAGGAGTCTCATCTAGTGTACAGGGAAATAGGGTCTTGATATTGACCCTGCATTTGGCCCGAATAATTCACAGTGAAGTTATTCTGCTCTGGATGTTTCAGAAATGCCTTCAGGATCAGAGAGGGGTGTTACATGTGGGGAGGAGGCATTAGTGTGGTCAAGGGCTAGCTCAGGGAGCTCCATGACTAGATGATGGGATTCAGAGTGTCCATCCCTGGTCTCCTGACTGACGGATCATGCCTAGGTGAGTCTCACCTACCATATGCTGCCAAGCCTGGGCAGAGGGTGGGGACACCAGAAGGGAGCCTGGGAGAGAAGGTTGACATGGGGCTGGGTTTCCTCAGGGTGTCCACACGTGGCTTGGTGCCGGCTATGGCTGGGCCCTGAGCAGGGAGCAAACGGCTCGTGTTCTCCCTCTTAGGTGGTCATTCCCGTGGTGTCTGTGGAAATGATAAAGAAACACAAGATGGCGCGGCTCCTCCCCAATGGCCTGGCCATTACCACCAACACCAGCCAGAAGGTCAGTGAGTCTCTGGGCCAGCGCAGCCTTATCAGTCTCCATCCCACCCCTGACTCCGCCCCTCCCTGGCCTTTACTTCTCCCCACCCCACAGCTGTCCAGAGGCCTCGGTCTTGCTGCCTTTCATAGCCTGATGTCCCCATGGTTCTGCCCCGGTCTTGGCACAGCTTGGAGCACATCTCACTCTGCTCCTCTCTGTTTCCATGTCTCAGTATGTGTTTGTGTCGCTTCTCTCCCGGGACAGCGTGTATGACATGCTGAGGAGGGTCTGCACCCACCTGCAGGTAAGGAGCTCTGGCCCCAGATGCCAGGACCCACTGTTGGGGGAAGTTGGGCCATCTCCGCACATGGAACATGAACAGGGAGAAGGGAGGAGCGCCAGTGGGGCCAGTGGGGCCTGTGTTTCCCCATGTGTATAGGAGCCCTCCCAGGGGCTTCCTTAGCCGCCACGAGGACAGGAGGACGTGGCTGCAACCCAGTATGTCCTACAGCACTGCAGCTGGCCCCAGTATATCCTACGAAGTTCTCTGGTCACTGGTGAGGTGGGGGAGGGGCAGGGACAGTGGCATGGGAGAATAAGTTTCTTGGGATTTGCTTTTCTGCTCCAGTATCAGTTAAGGAGGCCCTGTAAACTCTGGGCACCGGGTTTCACCTGACACGAAGCAGCATATTTGGAGGTAAAGTTCTCCTGGGGAATGCCAAGGCTTCCCCTGTCTGATCCTGCCTGCCCGCTTTCCTCCTCAGCCTTCCAGCAAGAAGACCCTGAGTGTAAGGAAATTCCCAGAGGAACCCGAGTGCAAGTCTCTGGTGAGAGGGCTCAGGCAGCGTGCAAAGGCTGCTGGCCTGAGGGTGACCGACTTTGAGGCTTTAGGGTCTCCATAGGGGGCCTAGGTGTGGAACTGCAGCAGTAGGCTCAAGAGCGGGTGGCTGTGCTGTGCCAGGGTTCCCCTGGGGCCTCCTACCATGCACAGCCATTTAGGTCCTGGGCAGATTTGCTGACTTTCTGAGCAGAACAGCGGTCCAGCCCCAGAACACTGGCCAGTTTGGGTCCCACCCCTGTGTGCACGAAGCTGGGGACCCATCCTGTTCCTTTGGCAGAGTCAGGAGGGGCTTTGAAGGGACAGGCGTGTCCCTGGAAGAGAGTGCCCAGCGCCATCACTGTATGGCATAAACTTTAGCTTTGGCCAAGGGGTTTCAGCATCCTCGGCAGCTATTGGGTGTTTAGCCAAGCATGTAGATGCATAATGACATCCAGGGACTGGGAGGTGATGTTCCTGTTTTTGCTGATAGGGACCTGAGTCCCCACTGTGAGGTCACTGAGCTCAGGTCAGAAGGGGCCATGCTTTGTGCCATCTGAGGCACGCTGTGTGCAGGTACTTGGCTTACCTGAGATGCTACCATGTTTCTACATCAGCGATCTCGGAGGACATTGTTCTTGGCAGAGCAGTTGGTGCCGCAGCAAGGGAGCAGATAGGAAGTTGATTAGTGTTGCCATGCCAGTTGTCCACACCCTGTATCTGCTTCCCTCCTTGGCTAGGCATGCATATTGGGAATATCTGGACAAAGACTCAAAAACCTGTTGTAGGCCCTTTAGGGTAACAGAGCTCCCAGGTGCCATGATGATACAACTTCTCTTGTCTCTTCTACAGGAAGTCCTCATTCCCGAGATGAAATGGAGAAAAATATACCCTCCCTCCGGGTCCCTGTTGCTCCCAGACAATATCCCCTGTGTCCCTCAGGGATCGATGGACTCCACAGACAGCCTCTTTCCTTCCGGGAAGCCTCCAGAGCCTGGTGAGTTCAGGGTCTTGTCCAGTGGGACCGGGTGTTCTCTCCTAGTGTGTGAAAAGGGCTGTCCTCGGCTAGCAGGTTGTCTGAGAGCTGTTGCTTTCTCCAAATCCACATGGGGTCCCACTCCCCTGAGAATGCTGTCTAACGACTGTCATTGCATTGCAGAGAATGCTGTCTGTGAGGCCCAGGAGCATGCGGAGGAGCCATCGAGAGAGCAGGAGCTGGGGCTCTGGGATTCGTATCTCCTCAAGGTCATCTTCATGGTGTAGGTGACTGTCCTGGGGAGGAGGGTAGACCTGTGGGGGGCTCTAGGTGTGTGGAGGGTGGAGAGGTCATGGTCTAGAGCCAGAAGAAGGTTCGGAGCCAACTCCAGGCTCTTGAGTGCTATGTGAAGGCCCTGGGGCTTGTCCTTTTATATGCAGCAACACAAAGTGTCTCCAGATTCCCAAACCCCTATGATTTAGGCTTAAGACTGTGGCATGCTGAGGGCAGGATATGAAACTTGAGAAAAGGAAAAGCTACTGCCCAGGATTTGGGAGACAAAGTGTTGGCAGATGAGAGAGGGCCATTGGACGGCTGGGGAGAAATCCTGCCCAGGAGAAAACCCCGCTATCCCCAGTGCCCACCTTGAGGGCAGTGGCTGGATCCCTGGCCTGTCTGCAGCCTGTCTGAGGACCGGTGGAGCAGTGAGCGCGGTGGGAAGTATGCTCGCTGCCAGCCCCTGCTCCCCTCCCCTCCCCTCAGCCACTTCCCTGGCGCTGCTGCTGAGTGTGACTGTCAGCCATAGCTCCTGAGGAGCAGTGGGGCCACCACCTTGGGAGATGTCATGGTGGCCTCCCAGAGGAGGCAAAGAGGGAACCTAGTGGCTGGCAGAGGGGGTGGGATGAAAGCTTGAAATATATGGCCAGGGCTCCCCGAAAAGGCCCAGGACTCCTTCTGGGGCGATGGGGACGAGTGCCAGGAGCTGCGTGGCCTTGTGAAGAAAGGTGCCAGGCCGGAACATGGCTGCGAGCAGAGGCTTCTTTAATCCCTCCAGTTACAGAAGGGGCTTAGGCCCCGCTGGTTTTTCTGGTGAGCCACCGAAAGTTTCCTTTTTCTTTTTTCTTTAAAAATGTGTGTGTGTTTGTTTTTGTTTTTGAGACAGGGTCTTGCTATGTGGTTGAGGCTGGCCTTGAACTCACTATCTAGTCCAGGCTGGCCTGGAACTCACGATGATCCTCCTGTGTGCTGGGGTTATCGGCGTGCACCACTACACCCAGCTAGAATGCCCTTTTTCTAGAAGGAAGAGTCAACTGTTTCTCATGCCTGTTTCTCCAGAATCTGCTTCTTGGTCATGTCCTCGTCCTACCTGGCATTTCGCATCTCCCAGCTGGAACAGCAGCTGTGTTTCTTGGATTGGAATGGGCCAGTCCCTGGGCACAGGTGCGGCGGCCTTTAGGCCTGAGGGTTGGGGTAGGAGCCAGGCTGCCTGTCCCCCTGGCTGCACTTGGCCCTGTTGGAGCTGGTTTGATGGCTGTAGTGAAGTCGAGCAGTGTTGCAGGGACACAGGTCCCACTTGCAATGGGGGGAGAAAGGCTTCGGGCCCTCCTGCCTGCACCTGTCTGCCTTGGCCCTTTCTCTGATCTGCGTGTCTTCCCTGGGTGTAGGTAACAGCTGCCTGGCCTTTGTCCTCACACCTCTCCAGAAGAAAGCTCAGTGCTCAGACTCCAGGACCCCCAGTTCATGGTGCTGCTGTGCTGAGGCCGAGTGTGAAGGAAAACATTCCCACTCCTTCCCCTCCCTGTCTTCTCCCGCCCTCCGACAGTGAGCTGAAGCACCTGTTTACAAAGTAACCGGCTCCTACAGATTTTGGACTCAAACAGAAAGCTAGATTCTTGGAAGCAGCTGAGGAATTCTGTATACTAAGCTTCAGCAGCCACTTCAGTGAGAACAACATTTAACTTGCTCCTTGGAGACCTCTCTGGCACACAGGCGGAGCTCTGGGGGCCACCTCAAGAGACAAAGGCCACACTTTGATACCTGGAATGTGGCTCCCTGGGGGGGTGGGGCAGAGGCCAGAGCACCTGTCTGCTGTGTTGCAACACACTTCAGGGCCCTTGGGCCCAAGAGTCCCAGTCCTGGAGCCCACAAGGCTCTGCAGGGAGCCAGGCACCGGTTAAGCCTGGGCAGGGGGTGTGAAGGCAGGCAAGAGGGCTCCCAGCAGGGATTCCAGCAGGAGATGAATGTGCACGCTTGAGCAAGGTCCCTCTTTCAGAGCTCAGCTGAACCCTCAAAGATAGTGTCCACAGTAGGGAGTGTTGTGGGGCTGTGAGGCCCCAGAATTCCATGTCCCCAGCTGTCACTTTCTGGTGAGACAGGTAGAGTGGAGCTTTTGATCACTGTGGTCACAGATCTGGTACTAGGTCTATCCTTGGTTTTCTCAACCATTTCTAAAGTGTCCCAGGCCCTGGAAGTACAGGACAGGAAGGATGGGAGCTGTGATTTGAGGCCTTGCTGTGTTCCCCTTGCCTGACTGCCCCCATCTCGGGTATGGCCAACAGCAGCCTGTGGGGAGGTTTGGCTGGGGAGCCGAGTGTGATGGTGTCATTGATGTCACCTCTGTCAGAGTGCCAAGGGCCATGAAGGCGCTATTCTCCATTAATAAGGTGGGGTTGTCCCAGGTGAGCCTAGTTCAGTGCAGGGAGCAGGAGAAAGGGCTCTGCCTGACAATCTTGGGGACCCGAGGGGTAGGGGATGACAAGGATGGTTTTGCCTGGAGAGTCCTTCTCTGTTCTAGCAGGAACTCTGGCCTGACCTCCCCAGGACTCTCATCTGCTGACAGGGTCTTTGGAGGTTCCCGGAGGGTCTTAAGGGCGTTAGGGAAGAGCACAGGTGGAGTGCATGGTGTCAGAAACAGCTACTGTTTCCCCCTCTCCAACACAGAGAAGTTAGTCAGGGAGATCCAGGTGGAAATGATTTATTGCAGAGCTGTGATTGTCCTGTTGATGGCAAGCCCTAATGAGTACTGGCCGGCAGGACTGGCAGTAGGTCCCAGCTCAGAGTCCAGACTGGAGGTCTCTTCGTCCTCTCCTCATCCCCTTTCTCACATTGCACCTGGAGCCTGATCTTGTGTGCTTCTTGCGTCGAATCTGTGTCTCAGGTGAAACTCACTTCCCGTATCCTCGCAGTGCCACACTGGATGAGTGCCTGGCTCTGGGCTTTTGGAGGCGGGGCAGCCCCCTTCATCACTCATTGCCATCGTATTTTCAGGGAAACAATCCTCCTTGCCCAGTGCTTCACCTCCCTGGTCCTTGCAGAAAGGCAGGAAGAACAAATCCATTCTCTGAGCCTCCTTAGGTTGAGCTGGTGGCCGTGGCAAGTGCCAAGTCATGAGTGGCTGTGCCAAGATGCTAGGGAGCCTGGTCCCCAGCCAGACTCCGGGCTCAGGAAGGGCAGAGGCCTGCAGTAGGGCAGGTGGTTCCAAGTCCCGTGTGGGGCCTAGAGCTCTGAGCGATGTGCTTGTGCCAGTACTGCCTGGGCATCCACTCTGTTTCTCCTTTTGTCCCCCAACCTGGTCCTGCTGTGCTGTGCTACAAACTATGAGAATTTATACATTCCCACCTGCATTGGCTGAGGCTTCTTTAATTCTCTGAAACTGGGTTTATCAACCTTGGTTGATCCACCATGGCATTAGCTTTGACATTTTAAAAAATAAACCTGTTATTTTCTAGTGTCCTGTGGCATGGAAAGTTCATTTTTATCCTGTGACTCATTTAATCCTGTGTCAGTAAAGGTACTCTACTGACATACTTGGCACGGAGGAGACTGAGAGAGCCCAAGTCATTCCCAGGATCCCAAGGACACTGCAGATCTCAAAGGATCTAGGGAGTGGGCTTGCTCCCCAGCCTGTGGCAAGGGTGAGGGCCACCACAGCCTTCTTCCTCTGCTGGGTGGACACCGATGGACAGTGTGTCCCCATTTCTCCTGTGCAATGGCCCCTAATAGTTCTTGACTCAGGAATTAATGTATGGAAATCAAAGCCAGAAGGCTCCTGTGTCCTTTTCTATGACTCTGAGCTTACAGAGGCTACATTCTGATTTGGGTCACATCGTATTTCTTCTGCCCCTGTGAGTCCAGACCCTGCACCAGCTGCTGTGTTAAGCATGAGGTACTGCAGTGACTGTGCACGCAGTGGCTGTACCCTAACGGCACCTGCCTTAAGTTTATGCACAGGTGAGTTCCAAGTGAATTTATGAACAAACAAGGGAACTGCAGATTGGGATCAGGTTCCATAAAGGTAAGCAATCATGATAGGAGGTAAAGAGGGAGATGGCTTTAGATGGGGCAGTCAAGAAGTTTCTCTGAATTGACCTTTAAGCTGGTACCTGTAAGACAAGGTGCCTGTGCTAGGAGCAGCATTCCTGGAAGAGGGATCAGCAGCAAATGATGGGAAAGGGCGTATAGGTCTCTAGGCTACTAACCAAGTGACAGTGATGTGAAAGCTCAACTCAACAGCAAAGAAATGACTCCCTAGACATTTCTCTAAAGATATAAAAATGGCCAGTAACCAATTAAAAAATAGTCATATTAGGGCCGGGGATTTAGCTCAGTGGTTTCGCTGCCTGCCTCGCAAGCGCAAGGATCCAAGTTCGATCCCCAGTACCAAAAAAAAAAAAAAAGTCCTATCACTACTAATTATAGGAATGCAAATCAAAATCATAATGAGATACCACCGCACAGTCATTAGGATGGCTATCAAAGAAACAATGGTTAGCAAGGTCCTGAGTTCGATCCCCAGTACCAAAAAAAAAAAAAAAAAGAAAACAATGGTTATCAAGGATAGGGGAACATTGGAACTTTCATGCATTATTGATGGGAATAAACAATAGTATAACTTGTGGTCACCATAGTTCAGAGGCAGTTCATGGGGACAGTGTTTGCTTAGCATGCTCAAGACCATTCAGTCTGTAGCATGCATACATGTGCACATATACAGATGTAGCTGGAAAAATTGTATGGTGTTTACTCAAAAACTAAACTACAGAATTATCACCAGGTGAGGTGGTTTACACTTGTAATCCCAGCACTCAGGAGGCTGAGGCGGGAGGATCATGTGAGTTTGAGGCCAGCCTGAGCTACATAGTAAGTTCAAGACCAACTTGAACTATATAGTGAGATGCTGTCTCAAAAAACACAAAAACAAACAAAAAACCAGAATTGTCATATAATCCAGCAGTCCCACGTCTGCGTGTGTACTAAAAAAATTGAAAGCAGGTCTTGAGATATTTGTAATACTCATGTTCGGCCAGAAATTTAGCTCAGTGGTTCTGGCACCTGCCTCACAAGCACAAGTTCCCGAGTTCGATCCCCGGTACCAAAAATAAAAAATAAATAAAAATAAAGGGAGAGATAATATTTACAAAAAAAAAGAGTAGGAAAAATTTGCCGGGGATTTAGCTCAGTGGTTCTGGCGCCTGCCTTGCAAGTACAAGGTCCCAAGTTCGATCCCCATACCAAAAAAAAAAAAAAAAGTGATACTCATGTTCACAACAGAATTATTCACAATATGAAAAGGCAGGGGGTGCGGCTTAGTGGTAGAGTATTTGCCTTATATGTGCACGCTCTGGGGATTGATCCCCAATACCAGGGGATAAAAAGGAAGAAACAACCAAATTGTTCATTGATGCATGAATAGATAAGCAAAATGTGGTGCACTCATGCAATGAATATTCAGCTTTGAGAGGGATGCAGTTCTGACATGTGGTATGATGTGGATGACCCTTGACATTTGGTGAGCACAAGAAGCCAGTCAAAAAAAGACAAATCTGTGTAACTCCACTCATGAGGTACCCAGAGTGTCCAGGTTCTTAGGGACAAAAAGTGGAACAGTGATGAACCTCAGCGAGGAGAGGCGGGATTGGGGAGTTGTTTCATGGGTGCAGAGTTTCAGTTTCACAAGATCAAAAGAAATCTGGAGATTGGCTGCACATCAGTGTGAATATACTAAACATTACTGGATTACACACTTAGAACGATTAAATGGTAGAAGTTATGTATATTTTACCATATTTTTTAAAAAATTAAGAAGAGAGATTAGTGAACTAGGCAAGGGAAGAGAGTTTGGATTTTGTAGACTCCCTGGGTATGGAAGCTCAGATCTGAAAGTGTGAGGTCAGCAGGGCAGCGTAGTGGTTGCTGAAGTCAAGCGCTTTCCTCTGCCGTTGGATGGACATGCCTGGCTGGGTGCAATGCACAGAAAAACACGGCTGCTAACCTACAGGCTTCTGGGGGACTTAGAAAAACCAATCCAATCCCGTCCTTTAAAATACGACCCTCCTTACTCTTCAGGAACTGGTTCATATTAACACCATCTCGGAGAAGGCTTATCATTACATATTTCTAATTTTTAAGTTGAAGGAGTTAGGTTTATAAGGGATAAACAACTTCCTTATTTGGGGAAATGGAGGGAAATACACATGGCAGCGCCTGGGTTTTGCACCGTGGACCTTAGCCAGAGGGGAAGGGCCCTGGGAGGGCCAGGCGTTCTAGAGAAAAGAGAATTCAGGAAGGAGAGCACCGGCAGGACTTCAGCCCATCAGAAATGTTCTAGAAGGGCCGGGGATTTAGCTCAGTGGTTCCACCGCCTGCCTCGCAAGCACAAGGTCCCAAATTCAATCCCCGGTACCAAAAAAAAAGAAAGAAAAAAATGTTCTAGAATAAGACACTGTTCACCCCAAGTGCCTCTCACCTGGTTGCCATGTCATTAGGCCCCTGCTAACCTGGCAAGGTCTTGACCTCCATGCTACCCCTCTCTCCCCTGGCTCCATCCTGGCTCCCTGGCTCCATCCAAGGCTGATTCTGAGAAGGAAGAGATGACAACCGGCCCACTAGGTGGCAGCAAAGTCTAGCAAGAAGGCCCGGAGCCAATGGGTGAAGGACTTGGTTGTTCTCAAAGCCAGGTCCCTGTGGTCTTGTGTTCTTGCTGGGGGAAACAGGCCCCGGCTTCTTCCAAGCCCAGCGCACCGCCAGTGCCACAGAAGAAGGGAGTCTACAGGCAGGCCGGGGGGTCCTCTCCCTTTTGGAGGCTGCTCCTCCCTGCCCAAGGCCTGCGGTGACTGAGAAGGTAGCGTTGCCAGGGCTCCCCAGACCGCGCAGGCCTGGTGGGTGGGAAGGCAGAACCAGCAGCTTCGAAGCACAGGTGTGTGTCTGTGTGTGTCTGGGTGTCAGGGTGGGGCGCTCAGTTTCTAGGGCTTGGAGACCCCGGGCTCTTCCCGGCCCGCCCTTGCTGTGCGCGGCATCTTTTCCCATTCGGAGCAGAATGAAGCTGTGCCCTGTGCAGTGTGCAACAGTGTGGCAGTGACACTTTCTCCCCCTGCTTAGGTAACACGGTTCAGACCCCAGGGAGGAGAGGTTGGAAGGGTAGCGATTAAGTATGCTTTGTCCACGGAAAGCCCTGAAGCCTCTGAAATGATAATCCAGAAACCCGACTTTGTCCCGCTAAGTGCCGACCTCCAGGGAGACAAGCTGCACCTGGTGCCCGTGGGCCCTCGCCGGCCGCCCTCATGTGGCAGGGCTCTTGCCTCCCTGGAATGTGTTCCTTGTTTGCCACTCAGTGCCTGGCTGGGGGCCAGACCTGGGCTGCTCAGAATGCGACGCCCCCACTCCTCGCCTCCTCCCTCCCGCGGGATCTGAGACAGGCTCTCTTCTGGTGGAAGAGGCCAGGCTGTGCTTTGCCCTCGCCCCCAGGGGTCACCCCGCGGGAGGCTGAGAGCAGAGGCCTTGAGGGGACAAAGCCCAGTGAAGCAGGGAGCATGGGACATTGCTATCTTATCCCATTGGCAGCTTCTAAATTGGGCTGGAGTGGGCAAAGAGTTACTCACAAGCTGTTCATTAACTTGCTAAATACAGAGAGGCTGGCTTGGGCACCACTTTGGGAAAATGTGACACCCACCTCTCCCGGATTCAGTCTAGCATGAAGGCGTGTTAATTGGTGTAGGCTTTCTGATGGAAGTTTTTCTTTGCTGCTGGTTCCAAATGCCAGGCTAATCTGAATGGCACACTGTCTTCAGCACATACCTACAGTTAAACAATTTATTAAGCTGCTTCCAAGGGCTCCTGAATATGTTTCTACAACTACAGTGACACTGTCACTTTCTGAGCACTTGAACAGGCTCTTTGCTGGGTGCTGTTTATATCTCAATTGACTCTCAATACAACAATGCAGTTTTCACAGTTTGCCCTGTGGAAGCAGACATTGATAGAAATACATACAGTATTGACCCCTCGGGGAGGCTGGTGAGCAGTGAGCGGTGAGTGAGAGGGAATTGCTGTGTAACACTGTGAAAACAGGGAGGGGGTATGGCAAGTTCTAAAGAGGGAGTCACGCAGGGTTACTCAGCGGCACAGGGGTGGTAGCATGTGTGGGTTGCAAAGAATGAGATTTGGATCCTAGGAGAGATGTAGAGGGGAGGGGCTCCTCCTGAAATGTGGTTTGAAAGGGTAATGTCAGTAAAAGTTTGGGGGTGTGGAGGGTGGTGCTGGTGAAACTGGAGAAGATACCTAAGTGGGCGGAATCCCTTTGGATCTAAATGCCAGGATAAAAAAAGAGGCTTGATCTTTCTGGCAGTGAGGGGTTACTGGAGCTGTTGTTACTTAGGAATGACGGTAAATTCGGTGGGCTAGGAAGATTCCTTTGGCAGCAGAGTGCAAGGTTAATGAAAAGTTCCATAGAATACTGTAGTCTAGACTGTAGTCAGCTTCAGCACTAGTGACATTTGGGGCTGGAGAATTCTTT